ACTGGCACAAAAACAGACATATAGACCAAAAGAAAAGAATATGTCCAGATATGGACCCTCAACTCTATGGTCAAATAATCTTCGACAAAGTAGGAAAAATTATCCAGTGGAAAAAAGAGGGCTGACAAAGAGCTGATATCCAAGATCTATAAAGAACTCTTCAAACTCAACACTCAAAAAACAGATAATCATGTCAAAAAGGGGGCAGAAGATATGAACAGACACTTCTCCAAAGATGACATACACATATGGCTTACAGACACATGAAAAAATGTTCATCATCACTAATTACCAGGGAAATTCAAATCAAAACCACATTGAGATACCACCTTACACCAGTTAGAATGGCCAAAATTAACAAGATAGTAAACAACAAATTTTGGAGAGGATGTGGAGAAAGGGAAACCCTCTTACACTGTTGGTGGGAACAAAAGTTGGTGCAGCCACTTTGGAAAGCAGTGTGAAGATTCCTCAAAAAATTAAAAATAGAACTACACTCTGACCTTGCAATTGCACTACTGGGTATTTACCCCAAAGATACATAGTGAAAAGAAGGGCCATATGTACCCCAGTGCTCATAGCAGCAATGGCCACAGTCGCCAAACTGTGGAAAGAACCAAGATGCTCTTCAGTGGCTGAATGGATGAAGAAGATATGGTCCATATATACAATGGAGTATTATGCCTCCATTAGAAAGGATGAATACCCAACTTTTGTATCAACATGGACAGGACTGGAGGAGATTATGCTGAGTGAAATAAGTCAAGCAGGGAAAGTCAATTATCATATGGTTTCATTTATTGTGGAGCATAAGGAATAATATGGAGGACGTTAGGAGAAGGAAAGGAAAAGTGAACTGGGGGAAATCAGAGGGGGAGATGAAGCATGAGAGGCTGTGGACTCTGAGAAACAAACTGAGGGTTTTAGATGGAGGGGGTGGGGGGATGGGTGAGCCTGGTGGTGGGTATTAAGGAGGGCATGTATTGCATGGAGCACTGGGCGTGGTGCATAAACAATGAATCTTGGAACACTGAAAGAAATAAAATTAAGATGTTAAAAAAGAAGAAATGTGTTGGTTTCTGACTATGGCACTTGGTATTAAATGATTAGTATCTTATTTGAATTCAAAAATTTTAATTTAATTTTCGAAAGCACTGAAACACTTTACTACAACTCTCTTGTATGTAAAATGTTCCTAAATGCACTAATACGACCACATGTAGGTCTTGGGCATTTGAGAGGTGGATAGCCCATATTAAAATAGGCTGGAAATGTAAAATACACTCCAGATTTTAAAGACTTAATACAAAAAGAAAATAATGTAAAATATATCATTGACAATTCTTAGATTCTTTGTTGAAATAATATTTTGACTATTGGATAAATCCAATGTATTATTAAATTAATTTTAACAGCTTCTTCTGCTTTTTAAAAATGTGACAACTAAAAAAAATTTAAATTACCTATGCGGCTCCTATTATGTTTCTACTGAACAGCACTTTGTTAAAGTCTGTGATTCTAAGACTGATTTCAAGTGGGATTTTCCTAACTTCAAACATACTGTATTAAGTCTCAATAAAAGCTGCATGACTTCGCCTGTCCCTTTTCATGTCAGCAAAAACCACTAGTTTTATCATAATCAGATACTTTCATTTCATTCATTCTTATCACACATAGTTACTGAACACCTACCATGTGCTGAGTCCTAGACTAGACACTGAGGATGTGGTGGACCAAAGCAGAAGGGATCCTGTTCTCTAAGAGCCTCAGTCAAGGGTAGAAGGCAGGCATCAATCATAAAATCACATTGATGAATGTTTAATGTGCAGTAGAGAACAGCTGTGCCAGAAGGAACAGTGGGATCTGAGGGATGGGAGGAGTTATCTTAGAAGGGAAGGGGAGACAGCCACAGCAGAGGACACAGACACTTGTGGCCCACCCGAAGGAAGAAGGATCCTGGGCCCAAGAGCTGGGAAAGAGGAAGAAAGGAGTCCAAGATGAGACTGTAGAAGGAAGCACTCAGAACCTGGTAGATACTATAAAGGTGTGAATTCCAAGACCCATGCAAAGCCTTTTAAGTGCTTTAGGAGGCAATAACAAGAACATATTTACATTTGAAAATGATAACTTTCTACAGAAATACCAATAATATTTCCAAATAAGAAAAGAGTCTGTTGGTGAAATAATTAACAGTGGAAAATGGTTCCCACTGCTCCTTTAATTAGTTGTCTTTAGCCTGAAAGTTAGAGTTCTTAGGTCTTCTAGACTAATTTACTGAGGATAACTCTAGTTCCTAAAAGAGACAGAACCATTTAAGGGGTTGTTTTGTAAAGTCTTGTCACACAGAAAACAGGTTTCACAGATAGCCTATTTAAAACAAAACTTTTCAGACTTGGCTTTCCCAAGTGCCACGTGCTGAAGATCTAAAACAACTTCAGTGGGAAAGCATTCTCAATCTGGGTATGCCCATTAAATCAGATTCCTTCCCTGTGCAGTTTAATGGGTTGAACAGATTAGTGACCATCCCAACAAGCGGAACAGCATGAAAATACTCTCCTGCTGAGCTTTGTATCTCTGAACTTGTGTTTTGTTAGATTTCTTTCATTTCTTCTGAAGTCTAGAATAAAATGCCATGCAGAAGATAACTCTGAAAAATCGTTAGAGAAGTTCTGTTGCTGTTATTATTCAAACATACGGCCCACAGAACAGAGAAAGGTGCCCCTCCATCCCCACCCTCTTAGTCGAACAAATGCACATCCAACTAAAAGGAAAAAAAGACATCCAAGATTTAAAAATAACTATGTTTTCTCAATATATTGTCCCCTTAGACATTCAATATTTAAAGTTACAAGGATTAATGAGACAGTTTTGTTATTACTAAAAGAGTAATTGGAAAAGTAGTAAAAGCCTAAGGAAACTCCAGGTGTGATATACCCTGAGGTGGAAGACATCACACAGATTCTATTCCAACCTCCTCTTGTCCGTGTGATGGATGAGGAGGCTAACCTGTTCAACATCCCCAGCAAGTTGGAGGGGCGACTTGTAATTGAAACTGCCTTACCGCATTGCAGTCAAACCAGGATTGTCAAACAAAAAGTTCTGGAAAGATTTTATTATAATAAAAATATTGAACAATAATAATAATGCAACCAAAGATCATTGTTAACATTGAAGGAGTATTTATTTAGTGTTCAGGCTTTGGGCAAACTAAGCACATATTAACTCATATAATCCCCATAACAAATACATTACCAGCCAAGTCCAGTCAGGCTAGAAAGGTCAAGTTAGTTGTGTTAAGTCACTCAGTAACCAATGGTGGAGCCAGAACACAGCCCAGGCTCTGGAATGCATGCCTTCAGCCATTTACTTTATTTATCTAGTCTGAACACAAGGAGAGGAAATGGAATATATTTCTACCTCGTGAGAAACCAGGTGGAAACTTGTATAAAATCCTAGAATTTTATATAGATAGATGAGTCCTCAGAGTCGGGGATGATACTGAGTACACTACATATTAAACATTCGAATTTAATCCCCAGACACCTGAGAGTCCAGTTTGCAAGTGTTCATGCCGGCACACATGATAAACCTTGGCTTGAAGTCACTAGTTGCATAAAAGCCAATCAAACTGTCATGTAAAACAAGGTTGAATGACGACATCACATCTCAGCTCATGAGTTGTGGCAATTGTCTCTGAAATTATTATACATTCTGAATTTATTGCTGCTTCCTTTCTGCTCCATGGTATATTCATCAGTAATTTTATGAGTTACTTTTGTGCTATGTTTTAATTTCCATTTACCCATCTTTCTCTTGCCACTTGCCCCCAAGGTCAAGAGCCATATCTTTTTCAAATTCATTCTTCTAAAACCCCCCCAAATGACTTAATATAAAGTAGACCCCTAATAAATGTTTGAGTCATCACATAAAATGTTTTCTAAATTCTCATTCAATTGCTTCAATGATGGTTAGTTGTTAATATTAATTTCTTATAGTAACAACTGCATAAATTTTCATATGTGAAACAATACATATAAGTGCAATAAATGGGAGTTGCTTTAATGATGGTTAGATGTTAATATTAATTTCTTATAGTAACATCTGCATAAATTTTCATAAGTGAAACATTACTTATAAGTGCAAGGTTTGAGGTTGATCTATCTAGGTTCAAATCCCAGCTCTGCCATTCACGAGCTCTGTGACCTAGATAAGTTATTTTAACCCTCTTTTCCTCAGCTCTCTCATATGGAAACTGAAGATAATAATTATACCTCCTTCACAGAATTGCCTAAAGTTTAAAAGAGTCCATTTATATAAAAAGCATGACATATACATATGACATACACATTTATGTAAAAAGTATGACATAGTATATGCTTTCACCAACACTCCCACCATCATCATCATCCAGACAACATCTTCATTATCACCACTGTCTGCCTACCAGCATCCAGCGTAATACCTGGTATAGATGAGGCTCTCAGCAAATGTTGAATTAAGTTCCTAAAACATATATAATTGTTTCTTTAACCCAAAATGTGCACACGTGACTTACCACTTGTCTATATACTTATACATCTCTATAGACAGACATTTCAGCATCAAGGACAGATTTTGCATATAATCGATTTCATTTTATTTAAAGGAAATGAACAAGAAGGAAAATTTTTCAAATTGAATGGCTAGATTAGCAAAACACAAAACCAGCAGCACCACTAGAGGGAGCTTTATTCAAAGGTTGCCAACAGTAATGCTGCCACTAGTAGGATTTCTGTATGCTCCCTGAGTCACTGGGCTTCTGGAAGGATCATTCATAAGAAAGAGACAGACTTTCTCAAAACTAGTTAGAAAAAAGTTGAAGGAGTGAAAATATTTTCAGGACTTTAGAGAGGAGCTCAATTTTCCCCCTTTCCAAAAATGAGAGTAACCAGCAGTTTCCCCCTTTCCAAAAATGAGAGTAACCAGCAGTTTTTTTGGTCCATTCTGAATGATGAACTTACCTGTGTCTTCGCGCCTGTGCTGTACAGGCCGGCAGTCCTTCCCATGGCGGCAGCACTTGGTATGCAGAAGAAAAATGAAGGAATCACATTGCTGAGGCCATGGGCCAAAAATTCCTACGGGATTGACAGTAAGAGAATATATTACTTAATCACTATCAACTTTTGGAGACCACAGGGACATCTTGTCAAAGAATGAAGCTTGTTTGTATTCAATTTCAGTTCTCCTTATTATTTAAAATATATATATATATATATATGTATATATATATATACATACACATATATTTATATGTAAATATACATATAAATATACATAAACTCAATAAAAGTTATATATATATAAAAGTTATATATATATAACTTTTATTGAGTGCTTACAATAAGCCAGAAACTGTTCTAAGCATTTAATGCTCATAACCACCTTCTAGGGAAGTAGGCCATCTACCAATGGCCCCCATAATGATAACTCCAGTGGTTATTTCCTATCTACCTTGCCTAAAAGTGGCCTTTGAGATAGTTTCTCACTTCTTCCTCCTTAGAGGTTCCTTCTAGGTCCTGCTAGGACCTCACACCCTCCTGTTTTCCTCCCACCTCCCTGGCCACTACTTCTCCATTTCCTTTATGGTTCCTTCTCATCTAACCAATCACAAATTTGGACCACTTCTCTCCCTGATCTTAGCTACCCAAATACACATTGACAACTCTCAAATTTACATCTCTAGCCAGGGCCACTCCTCTGTAGTTCAGACTCATATGGCCAACCTGCTACCTAGCATCTCCATTTGGATTGTTGGCAGGTATCCCAAACTTCACCAAATCAGGCTCTTGCTCTCCACCATCCCCAACCGGGTCCTCCCACGTTCTTCCCCACCTCAAGTTCCAATTACTTAAACCAAAAACATTAGAGATGTTTTTGGCTTCTTCCCCTATTCCCAGATAGTATCCACATCCAATCCAGAATCTGTCTTCCTCTCATCTCCTGCACTGTTATATCCCAGTCCAAGTCATCAAATGTTACCTGGATGTTTTCCTGCTTCTGCTGTTGCCAGTAAACAAAACAAACATCCCTGCCCTCAGACAGCTCCACTCTAGTGAGTGAATGCTGACAGTAAACAAGATTAATAATGAAAAACAAAGCAGAGAAGGGAGTGGAAAAATTTGGAGTTTAGGATTTTAGTTTACCAAGGAAGGCCTCCCTGAGAAGGGAAACTTTGAATAAAAGAGGCATGCAGATATCTGAAGGAACAGAGTTCCTGGCAAAGGGAGCAGCAAGTACAAATGTCCTAAGCCAGAAACATGATTAGCAAGGCAGTAAGTGTGGCAAAAACAGAGTGTAAAATGGATACGAGATCAGAGAGGACAGAGAGGGTGGCAGGTGGTGTAGGGCTCTGTGAGGCATGGAAAAGAGGCGTTTCATTTGCATATGATGCGAAGCCACTGGGAGGGTTTGAGATAAGGAACAACATAGTCTGTGTTGTATTCCATTGCATCCCTTGTTCCTAGACCAGTGTCCAGCACATGGCACAGCTCAATACACATCTGTTAAATGAATAAATGTGGGGTTTTTTCATAGATAACAAAACGGAGCACACAGCCAATTAAGGACACATAGCATCAGAGTGAGATTTAGACACAGGTAATAGAACATTCATAACCACTGTCCCACAGCTACCTCCGCAGACCTATGCAGGCATGTAGGGAGGGCCACAAGGATTAAAATAAGAAACTAGCAGAAGTCGTTTCAGAAGTAAATCAGTAAAATTTTCATTCTTTGATATTCTTAAAATAAACCCTTGCGCTCTTTAGTTTTTTACTAACATAAATAATATTAGTGTTATTTTTACTTTGAAATCCATGATTTTTAAAAGTCAGCATGCAATGATAAATATTTGTAGATTCTATCCTAACACCAGAAAGGACATCAAGATGTCCTTCTCCCTAGGGGGAAAAAATTTTATAGTTTAAACCAACCCGTGGAGGCCAGATTTTCAGCTTTCTATGAATGATTTAGAGATTTCTGTTTTGTTCTACCTATTCTTGCTATACACTCAGGGAAGTTATATTTCTCATAAGTTCAACATTGTCAGGGTCTGGGAGTCCGGAGTACCATGACACGACCACCGTAGAGGGGGGGCTGAGGCGTACTCCACCTGGTTGTCATCAACTGAATATTTGTATTTTTTAGCAGATCCTTGAGCCAGAGCCAGGGAGGCCACATAGCCGACAAGTGCCACTCCAAAAGCTTCAGTGATTACTGCAGAGAGGACATTCATGGGGGGAGCTCTAGGTGGAGGGATTCTGTGGAAAGAAAGACCATCAATTTTCATGTAATTTCTGTAACAACTTACACTGAATTCAACTGTGGTAATGACTATGAAGTTTGCCTAGAGGAAGTGAAACACCCATGTGAACAAGGAGCCTTGTGGTTGGAAGCCCTTTGTTTTCAATATTATTTAGCAGAAAAGCAAAATCACAAGGATCACCATGGAGATGGGCTCCATGTCTCCACCGGCATTTATGCCCAGGTTACACTACAGAAACTCTGTCTCAACAAAAATGTCCTGTATCAGAACAAAAGCAGATCTGGAGTGTTCTTTCATTAGAACGTTTCCAAATATGTGATTGGCAGGCGTTAAAGACTATACTTTCTGCCCTGAGTACTACAGTGTTTTATGCAAACAATGGTTTACTGTGAGCTACAATTCTTAAGCTGGTCCCTAAATTTGCCATAATCTTAATTATAATCTTAATTCATAATCTTAATTATGTTTTTAACTCAATCCTTTTACAGTACATTTAACTATGCATCACATATGTTAAGAAAAATGTGTGTAAAGTTTCCATGTACCCTCCGTTGCAAAATACAGTTCCCCAGTTTTTTTTTTTTTCCAGTTCCTCAGCTTTAAGGAAGAGTTTAAAATATTTCTTTCAACTAATACTCAGCCATTGTTTCCTTGTCTTTTGAAAACTACTTGAGCCAAAGGATCATTGTTTATTTATCCCTGATGATGCTTTGGAGGACTTACTTCTCCAAAAATAAACGCAAAATCCCTCTGGGGACAAAGTAGAAGAAAAAGGGAAGATAAATCATGTTGACTTAATATCTAGCAAGAAAGTGGAATGTTCAGCTCTCTCAATTAGCTGTTTCATTTAATCGTCCACACAACCCCACATGAGTGCCACTCCTGCACTCTATGGCAGAGAAAACATTTTAAGAAAGTTTAGGTAATGTACCTAAATCACAAAGTGAATGGTAATGTTGGGGTTCACTGTCTCTTTTCAATGCCACACTCCTTCCATAATTCCTTCAGAGAATGGGTGTGGAAAGGTCACTCAAAATAAAGGAGAATTAAAGCAGGAGGGGGAGACGCATGATTTCTTTTATCCACTTCCTTAAGTTTACACCCAAGAGAAACTGATGCGTAACATTATAGGCCCTAAGATATTTTAATATGACATATAAAAGAGCTGCCATTTCAAAGTATAAGAACTTGTTTCATAAAAATTGAGCTTCCCTAATTATTATTAATAATAAGCTGACCTAGAAACAATAAATTGACTTTTGAAGGTGGAAAAGTAGAGACCCCCTGCAGAAAACCCAAGTTGATTTAAATAACAACCATTAGCTTGTATCTAACATAAAGGTTTAAGACAGGATTTTTAAAAAAATTATCTTTTTAACCCTTGATAATTTTTCTACTGTTCCTCCATTTTAATGTAATGAGAAACCAAAATTTGGGACTGGAAGATAAAAATACAGAGGAAACAACTGTAACTCTGCCCCACATTTATAAGTACCAGTGTTTATACAGCCCATTAAGAGGGAATAACCCTATGACACCCCTCTCTTCCCCAAGGTGTCTTTGTGTTCCTCCAGGCTGTATTTGGCTCAATGTTTTTGCCCTTTTAGGGTGAACACTTCTTGTTAACCTTCCTCTTAGGGTCCAGAGGAAGGCTCTGAGAAACCATACCCTCTTCTCTACTTCTACGCTCTTTTACCTTATACACCACCCAGGCCTGTGGGATTGCTATTTCAAATGATGCTTATGTGCTTTTACTACATTTTAAGTGAAATAAAAATAGTCATAAGAATGCATGTGTGGAATAGGGAACAATAAATCCCAGAGCATGACTATAATTTAGAAATTCAATACCCTCCTTTTTTTCCCCAAATAATATCTTTGTAAATAATTTCCAAATCTTTAACCTGAAGCAATGCTGTATAAAACAGTTGTCAACTTCCCTAGTAATAGGCAAACAGTTTAAAAGGTTACTCTTTCTCCATATGTGTATTGTTTGTTCCTATCATTTTCAAATAGAAATTAATTAAAATTTGTCCCATAGAGGGCCTTTGAAAGAAATGAAATCCATAGCCACCTACCCCAAGACTTTTCCTCCATCATAAACAAACAAACAAAAAAGAAAGAAAGAAAGAAAAAGACTACATTACCCTTTTGGAATATGACCAACTACTTCTAATCCATATGTGATTTCCATATTGGTACAATAACAAGCAAATGATGCAGCAATAATCTGTATGGTTCCATTTGAAAAAAGAAAAAGAAAATTATTACTGGCGTCCCAAACACCTTGAAGCTATTTCTGAAAGCAAACATTGTTTATGTGTCCCATGATTGTCCAGAGTAATGTAGTAGTTGCACAGACTTTTAAAAACTAAGAAAATTTTAAAAATCAAAAAAATGCCTTTGAAACTTGAAAGCACTTAATTTGTAGTCTCAAAAACCAAATGGCATCCCCACAATATGGCTTTTCTAACATTCTTTCCAACAACGTCAATCCAAACATGACTGATTTTGAAGAGGCGCAGAATAGAATATGGGAGTGTATGTGTGTGTACAGATACCATAACCAACCTAAATACATATCTCCTGGAACATGAAGAAATACTTTATATCACAGCACAATTCCCTCCAGGACACCAACTTTCAAGAGTTTGAGATATTGCATAAATGACTACATAGGTCAGTAATCGATAATGATTTACAGTCTCCTTGAATAATTTTGAATTTTGAGCTTTGACTATTTCTTGAAGTAAAATGTACTAGTTAATAACAAGCTGAACTCACTGTTCTTAAAATTACCTCTGTTGGAGTCTCAGGTTCCCTATGCTCTATTATCTGACCTACAATAGGCAAGATCAGGTGTTCTCTGCCTGCATACCTTTAAATCACCTTTAAAAAGGATGCTCAGAACCCAGTTCAGTCTCCGTCATTCTAGCCATGCCACCCCCATGTTTTCCCCCCATTTTCACATTCTCTTTTCATTTTTCTCATAATTTTAGTAGGGACTGGGACTTTCACATGGTTATGGTATCAGTTTGGTATTAGCTTGGATCTACTTATATACTATACATTTTTGTTAAAAAGAGACATACCAATTATCTATTTAAAGTACAAATTTACCACACAGATGGCCAGAAATAAGGTATAACAAAATCACACTAGCAAATTAAGACATATTTAACAATTAATGCCCAATAATTTTATTTTGTAGGGATTTTTCCTATCTGTGTATTTCTCTTCTCTATAATAATATTTAACTTAATTTACAGAGGATTTTAAAACATCAAATAGACTTAAGAAGCAACAGACTTGAGGATTTTTTAAAAAGGCAACAAAACTGTATAGGTTATACTGTTGAACAATAAATATTGTGATATAATAGTGTTTCCTGATGAAGATAGTAGTTAAAAGTTCAGCCTATTAGGTTAGAATCAGAAGCATTAATATATTTAAAAGTTCCTAAGATGATTAATAAATTTTAATTGTTAATAATTTCCATGAAATATTTATATCGGTTCAGAAAATATTGTAAGCTGTAAAAGAAAATATACCACAGCCACAAAATACTGGTTCCTTATTGAAAATGGAAGAATACATGATGTTCAATACCTATAGGCAATATTAAAATTAAGCAATTTAAGCCACTGAATTGGCTTTCAGACAATATCTTATTTCCTCACTCTATCTCTTTGACAAAATTAAATTCCTCTATCAGATGAATCATTGGTTCCCTCTTCAATATTATTATAATATTATATGTGTGTATAAGGCCAGCACTGCCCTTAGACTTGGGGCAACAGGGGATCCTGGTCCAGTCAGGCCCAGTGAGTCAGGGCTTTCTAATCTGGTCCTTTCTAATCTGGCCCTCCCCATAAAGTAAGAGCTTTGTAGGGGTGCCCAACTCACCTGTACTTGTCTTTCTGGACCTCACTTTGGATAGTCAGGAATCTACAGTTTCCTGCTCCAATGGCCCAAGGCTGCTCCCCCAGGTTCATCCTCCCAATGTGGCCCCCGAAGAGGTCAAGAGACAGTTTTGGTGATGAAAGAGTGAGGATGTGTTTGGAGCTTGGAGCAGGAAGAGCCACACATATACATACGAATCCACTCGTGGATCCCACAGAGCTGGAGTAGGAAGAGAAGGGGGCAGGCCAAGGAGTTGGCTCACCCCATGCTGCCTCATTCTGACAGAACTCGAAGGATGGAGAATTCTCCATTCTGACCTTTCAAGGTAATCACTAAGGTGTTTTAGTCAAAATAGGAAAACAGAACTTGCTTTTTTTGGGTTTTGTTTCTCGGGGTATTTTTTAGAGAGAGAGCACATACAAGCAGGGTGGGGAAGGAGGGGGAGGGGAAGAGGGAGGATCTTAGGTAGGCTCCACGCCCAACATGGAGGCCTACATGGGGCTCGATCTCAGAACTCTGGGATTGTGACTTGAGCTGAAATCAGGAGTCAGATGGTTCATCAGTTCAACCACCCAGGCACCCCAGAACATGTTTTATTTAACACTTTGATCTATAACTTTTAATTATTGGGGCCTGCATTAGTACTTTTACCATGGATCCTGCAAATATTAGGGGCAAACTTGTGTAAGAATTACCTCTCCTTTTCTTTTTTATAAGGATAAAGTATATCTTACTACTTTTGCATTGAATAAGTAATTTTTTTATTACTAGCTCAAGGGGCATGTTACTTAAGGTTATTTTCAATTTTTGGTTCATGCAACATACATAATAAAGCTTCCCAAGATAGAATAAGATTTCTTAATACCTATAGGATTTTGGAATAAAATGGTATGTTTCACAGTTGTTGTGAAAACTATTAATAATCACAGTACCCTCCACTTTTATGGCTTATTTGAAATACAAACACACACACACATTAAATAGATCACATATGTTACATGGATCTCCATAAATTATCAGGAGTATAGAATCATACAAGTTCTAGCTATGGAGAGAGGCCATCCACGTGAGCTCTACAAAAGTAGAGTTAGTTTCCAACGTGCTAGGTTTATCTATTTATGAAAACCTACCATTTCAGCAATATAAACGACTATTTCAAGAGGTGAAATTATTTAGACATCACTTGTTCTGTACATGTGTAACCCAAAGACCATTAAAAAACTAAAGCCAATTAATGATTAAATTAGTAGACTGTGGTTGTGTTAACATTACATTTTCAACTTAATGCTTTGTTTAATTAAGAGTTCCCATTAGAGGCTCTTAAAATTTCAAAATGTGTTTTTTAATGCATAACCCATAAACCTTAAACCATAAACCTTAATGCAAAGTATAATTCATTGTTTGGCCAGCTATAGCAACAAAAAATATCTTAGAGAACCAGCCCCGGCCAGTGAAAATCATGAGTGTTCTTTCAATAAAGCAAAATTAGGTTGGTAAAAAAAAAAAGTGTTAATAACTCTACCAATCACTGATGGACATTTGTCAACTAATAATACTTCTATGCATATCATACAGAAGCCACATCAATAGGATATGATATCCCTTTTTACTGCTTTAAAGAGAATCATTCCAGAAATCTTTTGAGTCTTACCCTCAGAAATGTCTCCTTATTTAAAATCTTAAGTTATATGTTCTATTATTTCTATAAAAAAATTACAAGCGTATGAGAAATGCTATGTAAATTGAAAACATGTGTGCCTCCTTTTTAAAATTATTGACTCAAACTGTTTCCTGTTCTTACATTAATGTATAGCCACGCAAAATTAGCCCTCCTTTAATGAGAGACAGGAATAGCTGTGGGTTACTGTGAACGATATAGGGAGCCTCTGCAGATTACCCCAACAACAAGCAAGCACTGTAAGGCACAATGCTAAATGTTGATTTCATACTTACCAAAACTAAATCTACAGGAAGGACAACTTTAATTTTCCTTTTAAACTGTTCATTCAGCTCCTTAACCAGAACGAGCACCACGATACTCAGCAAAGATAACAGCAGTGCCTCCAGTCGAACAGACTTGATGTTTTCAAAGACATATGCGTAGATCTGCAGTGACGAGGGAACATGCAAGCAACACTCGGGGTCATCCACAACAGACCAACACTGAAATCTGGCTCCAAATGAACTCATTGATGTTTTGCAAAAATCACGTTAAGGGGTGGGATGTGGAAAGGTGGGCATAAAGTGTGGTCGGCGCTAACGCAGAGCAACCTATAATTCATTTGCATGTACAAAACCGCTTTGTCCCTGACTCTTCCACTAAACTCAGGGGTCGCTCCTTCCTACATAAGGACACTGCTAGAGAGGATGACTCTTCCGGGGCCTTCGTCGGGCAGAGACACTAAAACTCATTGCCCACATGCAGATTCATCAGGCTCTTCCTCAAACTGCAGGATAGAACAAGCACATGCACTTTAAATATCTGTGGATGCATCTGGAAAGTTAAGAGCTCTGCATAAGGAGGTATTTGCGTTGATCTGTATCTTCCAAATTCTCTCTTGCGAAGATATATCACTTGTATAATTTTAAAAGTTTTTAAATAAGCCTTAAATGCTTATCTTCAACATGTCCCTTAACTCCTCCTTCTGTTGGATCATGCTGACTCTGATTTTTATAAGCTCACTTTTATTTGTCCACAACAGATTCTTCGAGTCATTTCAGGTGATAAAAACTAGCTTTTGCTCTAGGTCACAGGCTATTCTTACAGCAGCCCAGCTTGTTGGCATTCTTGTTGGCATTCTTGTTGGCAACTTGTTGAGATACTCTGGTATCTCAAGTATGAGCTGACCATAACTAAAAATACTGGATCAAAATATTACGTACACAGTGGATCAAAAGAGCTCACATAGACTATGTTCTTCAGGATCTCCTAAAATTCTGCTTAGTAGGTTTCCTAATCAAAGGACTTAACCCATCTGGTCTAGAGATCTGGTCCAGGGATGGTATAAGGAGGTACATCAGGTTCAGTTTACCCGAACCTGAATTCTAGAGGTTAAACGTTATCATTCACACTGTAACTCTTGCAAACAAACAAATTAAATAAACTCAGTTAAACTGAAGCTTCACTGAGTGAAAGGGACCACAGTAGGTAATCCAGAATCCCTTTTGCCCACAGTTTAAAAACAAAACAACAAAACCAACAGAAACAAAACAAAAACAACCCAAAAAACCCCACTACTTGTGTATCAGATACATTAAGGAATAATTAGGGATCAGAATAGCTTTACCTGTTATCTTTTTCCCAGTATTCTATTTTATCCCACACTACCTGAAAAGAAAATTAGGTACTACAATATCATAGCTATCTGAGATGCAGACAACAATTTTTTCTGTCTCTCCATGCTGTGGACAGTAATTGCTCACAGTAATTCCTACAGCAAGTGAAGGAGCAAGTTCTATTTCTCATAGTCATCCCTTACTCAAAGTAGAGGACTAAAATTCAAAAGGCCTCTCAGTGAAATATATCCTATAGGGGATAGGGTTAGAGGAATGTCAAGAAAATTTTGTCCAGATACATTGCTTTCTGATGATTTAAGGACAAAAATGAGGATATCATTCAGATGATTTGTCAAGAAAAAACACAAGCATCCAAATGTTTTAAAGGGTTTAGAGGATTATTCCTTCTGTTTTATGGTATTAAAAGTATGCCACGAAAGTGCCTGTCTAAGAAAGGGGGGAAGGGCTACGCTCAACCGCCAAGCCATACCAAATTTGCTATAATGTGCATTTTGAGAACATGTGTTTGCAATAATAAAAATGACCACCCCAGAATGAAAGGAATGAGAAAAGCCCCCCCAGGGTTTTTATTGTCTGTCTGGGTTAAACAACAACTTGTAGGGCAAAGCACTTCTCACAAGATGCTCCAGAAGAATGGTGGGGGTGGGCAAAGGCTTGTTACAACCAGCTCGAAAACCACAATAGAAAAGCAGGCTGATGAGGAGTGTCATCCTAATGACTGTCATGTGGTCCCACAGGAAGAAGTCACAGCTGAAGTCAGCTTGCAGGCCACGAGTGGCATATGGAGACAGAGACAGGAACAGGGAGAGGGATACAAGCGGATATGCAAACACATACAAACACATAATTACATATGTTCGTTTAATGCAGGTCTAGGCATCCTAAGCACACATCAAAATTTCTCATTGCTCATCAATCCAGTCATCTGGGAATGCTATCACACGCTAAGCTCCAGTGGATAAAAACTCCCACCGAAGAGCATCTTTCCCTCAGAAGAGCAGAGGCAGTTTAATACGTGTGTGGATAAATGGTGTCATCAGAACTGACCACTTTAACAAAACAGGAGTTCAGTTCATTTTGAAACTATAATGCTAATTCTTTAAATTGGCTGTTTACTACGACTTGACATTAAATGAAAACTATTGGTATGTCCAAACAAATCCGTTTTGAGATATTTCAAAGAATAAAAGTAGTCTACTCACGATACATACGTTGTTTCTCACTGTTTTCTTGACAGATGAGATTTTTCTGAAGTAGTTAATAGATGTCTGCACGCCCACGCACAAATTTTTTTTTAAGATTTTATTTATTTATTTATTTATTTGAGAGAGAGAACATGAGCAAAAGAGCACAAGCAGTGGGGAACAGTAGAGGGAGAGGAAGAAGCAGACTTTGCGCTGAGCAGGGAGCCCAGTGTAGGGCCCTATCTCAGGACCCCAAGGTCATGACCTGAGCTGAAGGCAGTCACTTAATTGACTGAACCACCCAGGTGCCCCAACAAATTTATTTATAGAATGTGTTCTTATCTGAGTTGGCCAATCTTTTTTTTGTTGTTTAACTGATGGATTTTCAACTTCTGGAATAGTGTCTGGCAGATGGACACTCAATAAATATTGCTGAATGAGTAAATACTTTGGTCTAATGTAGTAAAAATAATAATAAATAGGAGACTTTAACTTGAATAAGCAGAATGATGAAGAGAGACAGGACCCAGAGTTTTCTTTTCTCACTATCAATACTTGAGCTATATCACATTATGGGGCTTTGTAGCTATCATTTATTAATCACTCAACATGTTTATTGAAGTTTTATTATAGGCAAGGTCTTGAGCTAAATATTAAAGCTACTATTGCAGTAAATTTCAAGTAATCGATTTTTTATATCTTCTATCTGATCTAAATAATCAGATTTTTAATAACTCCATCTTTATAAGAATGAGGCAAAATCCAAAGCTGAAAAAACTCATATTTGGGATTTAGTTAAGGAAAAAAAAAAAAACAGGCAAGGGAGGTTGTACCCATTCAATAGTTTCTCATTATGTAACTGAAAAAGCTAAATTATGTCCATTTTGTTAAACTTCATAAGGCAAAGGGAAAGATCTTAAATGTTTAGAAATGTTAGTAAGTATAAAAAAACTAATGGATTTTCTGTCCAATACTCAATTAACCAGAAATTTCTATCAATCAAATATCCTTTCCACTAGCATTCTCCATGCTCTACGTATTGCTATAATGAAATGTCCACGACAGAAACAAAATGTTTTTAATTTTTAAGTATATAATGTTATCATTGACAATTCTTCAGTAGCAGTGATGAGTATATTTCTGAACTATCTATAAAGGGACCACATGAAATATGCTAACATATATTTTATGCCAAAAAGAACACATAATCCCCTTAGTATAGTTATTTATCATTCCTGTGCTATTTTTGTATTAGGAATCTGTCATAAATCACTTTATGTTTCACTGGAAAAACAAGAGTGATGGTACAATCAGCAAACCTTAATAAAGCTGTCAGCATTCTACTTTATAGTAGGTATAAAGTACTAATCTGTGATCCACAAGTCTTGATTCCCAATATATGACTTTGAGTCTGTCATCAACCACAAAACCAGGAATATCTCTAGGAAAAAAAAACTGTAACATTCATAAATGCTTCTACCATGTGTTCAGACTGTGGTCTGAAAACACTTGTGGCATCATCTGTGCACAGATATTTGTCTCAAATCCAACAAGTGCACTTACAAGAGACAGAAGAGGAGAAGACATGAACACAAAGCAGAAGGGGCTTTGGGGTAACCAAGGCACAGTTTGGTTGATGTAGCCACAAGCCAAGGATGCCTGGAGCCACCAGAAGCTGGAAGACAAGGAAGGATTCCCCTAGAACCTTCAGATAGATCATGGCCCTGCTAATACCTTGATTTTTGGACTTCTGGACTCCAGAAATGTGAGAATAAAGTTCTCTGTGTTTAGTCCCCAGGTTTCTGGTAATTTGTAATAGTAGCCACAGGACACTAACATAGTTACCAAGTCAAATGCTTTTCACTGTGTTCCCCTAAAGTTCATATGCTAAGGCTCTAACCCCCAGTACCTCATTAGGTGACTATATTTGGAGAGAGGGCCTTTAAAGAGGTAATTAAATTAAAATGAGGCCATTAGAGTGGGCTCTAATCCAATTTAACACCTGCTGTTATAAAAAGAGGAGATGATGACCTACAGAGAGACACCAGGGAAGTGCGTGGTCAGGGGGAAGACCATGTGAAGAGGCAGGAGGGGGGCCATCTGCAAGCCAAGGAGAGAGAGCAATCCCAGAGGAAACTACTATGCTGGCACCCGGATGATATCCAGCCTCCAGAACTGTGAGAAGAGCCATTTCTGCTGTTGGATCCACCTAGCCTGCGGCCATTTGTTACAACAGCCTTACCAAATGAACACAGAGGATATTCCCCTCTTCAAGTTGACTGAGATAGAAGTCTTTCTAAAACACAAAGTGAAACTTAACAGAAAGCTTTTAGTAACTGTCACTCCTTGAATCCGTACAGTGCATTCACCTTAACCCTTTCTTTCCCCCTGAACAGAGGAATTTTTATATTTTCACCACCACACACAGATGTGGGGAAGGCAGCTCCTGGTAGAAAGAACAGGAGAGCCTATTTCAATATCATCATTCTCTAGAAAGCAGAAGAAGTAACATTTCTAGGCACTAGGCTATCTGATGTGCAGTGACTCATTTAATTTCCCAATTAATACAAGGTGAGTATTATCATTTCTCCTTTGCTCTATCCCATTACCCACCTTCATTACAAG